TATTTTATATATATATATATATATATATATATATATATATATATTTATTTATTTATTTATTTTAATTAATTAATTTATTTATTTATTTTCCCCGCTGTACGCGGGCCTCTCACTGTTGTGGCCTCTCTCGTTGCGGAGCACAGGCTCCGGACGCGCAGGCTCAGTGGCCATGGCCCACGGGCCCAGCCGCTCCACGGCATGTGGGATCTTCCCGGACCGGGGCACGAACCCGTGTCCCCTGCATCGGCAGGCGGACTCTCAACCACTGCACCACCAGGGAAGCCCCAGGTATTATATTTTTTGAAAACTTGTAATTAATGAATTCATTACCTTGGGTCCATTTTAACTTTTTCACATTGTATTGTATACCTATTAGTATTTTTCCTTTTAAATTATATTGAGGGACTTCCCTGGTGGCGGAGTGGTTGAGAGTCCGCCTGCTAGTGCAGGGGACATGGGTTCAAGCCCTGGTCCAGGAGGAACCCACATGCCACAGAGCAACCGGCCCATGCGCCACAACTGCTGAGCCTGTGCTCTGGGGCTTGCAAGCCACAGCTGCTGAGCCCATGTGCCACAACTGCTGAGGCCCTGTGCCTGGAGCCCATGCTCCGCAGCGGGGGGAGGGGGGCCACCGCAGTGAGGAGTGGCCCCCGCTCGCCACAACTGGAGAAAGCCCGTGAGCAGCAAGGAAGACCCAACACAGCCAAAAATAAATTTAAGATAAATTTTAAAAATTATATTGAAATTAAAAATTTTTTTCTTTTAAATTATATTCTCATACAATAGTTCCAAATGTTGGTTTACAAGCTTGAAGTATAGGCAATTTCATACAAATTATTATGTTTTACAAAATTGCTCTCCAGAAAGATCGTCTTCAGTTACCAAGACTAGAGGCAATATTTCCTAATGTTTGTTAAATTAATAGGTAGAGATAGGTCTCTTGATGTTATACAAATTAGCACTTCCTTAATTACTAATAAAGAAGAGTATTTTCTATATATATATTATTATCTGTGTTTCCTTTGGCATGAGGTGTTCATATCCTTTGCATTTTGTCAAATGGAGACTTGGTTTTGGGTTTTCAGGTTGTCAGTTTCCTAATTCTTTGGATATAAAAGTCATTATAAACTTTTAAAAAATTTTATTGAAGTATAGTTGATTTACAATGTTGTGTTAATTTCTGCTGTACAGCAAAGTGATTTAAGTTATACATATATATATTCTTTTTCATATTCTTTTCCATTATGTATAAACTTTTTTTACAACTTAACTTTTGGTCTTATTTTGTTTTGATTTTTATTTATGAAACTTCATAAAATGTAAATAATCAACCTAAAAATCACATCCCTGATATCTCTTTAAAGTGTTTTTAAAATTCTATTTTAGCATGAAACTGGATTTTTATTCTGCATTAAGAATATGTTTCTATGCGCACATATACACAGGGGGGAAATGTGCGACAGTGAAACAAAGTCAAGGAATCACTTATTTTACCAAAATGTTTAGGGTAGAAATGTTTAATAGATGGAGAGAGTTAAACCTAAACCTAAGAATAATTTCTTTCTGTCCTAAACAAACCTTCTATCCTCCAGTAGGTCAGCTCATTCTTTGCTGTTCTTGTTTTTTTTGGTTTTGTTTTTTGTTTTTGCCTTGAAACAAGCACAATTACATTGAGAGTGTGATTAGGACCATAATTAAATTCAACTTTGAATGTGTAGAGAAGAAGAAATAAAGCCAAGAAGCTATTTACACAGGGCAGTAATTAAATTAATTTAGGAGCTAGAGGGCTTTGTAAAGAAGCAGGTGCAGCCAAACTCAAGGTCTCCGTTTAGAATTAGCGATGATAGAATTGGAGTGTTATTTGAGAAATAAGTATGTAATGGGAACCTAGAGCAGGGAGGTGCCATAATGCCAGAGGAAGCCAGGAAAGGAGTTAGACCTTGATGGCTTGAGGTTAAGCATGCTGAGACCCCTTTCACCAAATCCAACAGCCATTTTATCTTAGCTTCTCCTTAGGAATTATGCATCAGGAAAGCAAAGAAGAATGCTAGAAATTTATTCCTATTACAAGAGCACTAAAGATTTGGAAGCCACCAGATTAGAGTCTCAGGAGGAATTTACCAGTGGAGGGGGCATAGCCGTTATACTTCCCCGAGTCAAGGGCATCTTTTATTGCTTGGGTAACTTCAGGATCTGTAGGCAGGTTTCCAAACACAGTAGGGTCCCCTTTTCACAGGAAAAAAAAAAAAAGAACCGCCAAGAGGTTATTCTTCCATGCCCAGTGCTCAGACCCACCCTCCACTTCCATCCTCTCCAACCAACCCATGAGGATGGGGGTGGGAGGAACAATGCCTGCCTCTCGGTCAAGTGTCTCCAACTCACCAATTGACAGAGCAATCATGGTCTTGTTTGGATTTGGCTTCACCTTCATGCTGTCCACAATGGCCCGGATGGGATTGAAAGTTTTGTTGGACATGTCCGAGGGCCTCACGGACCATCTGGCCTTCCTGCCTTTCATTTTTCCTGGCACAGAGCTTCTCCCAGGGATGTTGACATGCACATCCAGCACTGAGGGGAGGTTACCATGGTCGTGCAACTGAATCATGTATGGGTCCATCACTAACAAAGACTATGGGGAAAAAAAGGGGTTGCTGTGACACTAAGAACAGACATCATCCTGGGGGGGTCTACAGTTGGACCTAAACATTGGGGTAATTTCACCAGACATCTCTTTCCAAACTCCTTTCTCATGTAAAGTAGCTTTGTTATGAATGTGGCGAGTTTTAAGACTTTTCCCTGAGATGGAAAATAAGCAAGAGTCCATTCTACAATATTAGCTGAGAGCGTTCCATCGAATACTTACCTACTGTGAGATTTGCTGTGTGCAACTGTAATCCCCATGAAAATTTAACCACGCTCTCAGTGAAACCAAGGAAAAAAGACATGAGAACTGTTAACAATGAAAGCATATGTGTTCCTTCCTTTCCATGCAAGGAAGAGTCTCCCTAACATTTCAACAGACTGTGCCTTGTCCTGTGCAAAGAAGAACCAGGAAGAACCATTCCACATTGTTAGAAATTTAGTGTTAATATCGTCATTAGTAAAAATAAAGCCCTATTCCATACGCGTCTTACTGTCCTGTGGATAAAGAAGTCAATACACCACAAAGAAAAAAGTGCGTACTCCAAATCACTGTCACCAGATTATCTGAGGCTTGAGATTTTACCTTTTGAGTAAAGGAGAAGCAGCTTCCAAGTAGCCAAAGCAGAAAGTCGTCTTAGTTCTTTGGCAAGTTACAGTGACAGTGAATTCAGATGCAACCTCTGACTCCTGAAATAGTCCCACAAATGGGCGTTGGGCCTGAAACTTTCATGCTATTGGTTCAGGTGAGAACAGAGCAGCCGGCCCTCCTCTTCCCTCCCTTCCCCACTTTTTGCTTCCTTTTACCTCTAACCCTGCCTCCACCTCCACCACCAAATCAGGAATTTGAACTGGCTCTGTGTTAACTCTTTCCGCGTACTTTGTGAGATGTTTGAAAGGACTGTCAGAGAGGTAGTTAGGATTACAGTTTGTAACTTTTGTTAAAACTTTTTTGTTACAAAACAACCTATTAAAATTTCAATAGTACAGAAATGTATAGAGTAAAAAGTGAGAGTCTTGCTATCTGTATGTTCCAGTCTCACTCCCAGGGCCAGACGGTGGTAATGATTTGGCCATTTCTATCCATTCGCCAAGATGGATAGCTGATAGTAGATGAATTGATTTACAGATGATAGATAGATAGATAGATAGATAATGATAGTAGATCAATTGATCTATAGATGATAGATAGATAGATAGATAGATGATAGATTAGATGACAGATACATAGTTACAGAATTTTATGTATTTTCAAAACACAGCTGAGATCATGCTCTACAACCCGTCAGGCAGCATCCTTATTTATTTCCTACATCTTGGGCTCCTTTCCTTGTCAGTCCACAAAGTTCTACTCCAGCTGGAACACACTGCACAGTTAGAGTAAACTAAGGCTCCCTCCATAAATATCTTAAAAGTACACGGTCTCCAAGGCAAAACCTGTGCAGTTGTGAATTCTCCTTCATTTTCCTGTTGTGGAGCTACTGGAAAAATAAGATGTCAGGTGAGATCTAAATAAAAAAATTTGCTAAGCAAGCACAGCAGAGATCTCAGCATTCCTGTGAGCCTATGAAAAGCACCACCCACCCAAGGGTTAAGAGGAGCCTCAGTGACCCCATGACTCAGATCCTATCTGTTTATTTATTGAGAGACAAAGAGTTGTTACATAAGCTCCATCTTCTCCAGCTGCTTATCGGTGATTTGAGTCTCCAGTGGGGTTGAATAACCTTTTATTTCTCTGGTCCTTCTATCTCTTAGTGCTTTGAAAGACTTACCTAATGCATTCTCTTCCCCACTCCAGTGAAGTGAGCATTTACCACTTCGTCTCACCAGTGGAGAATCAGAAGCACCAGGCAAGGGCAGGAAGCCAGTCAGGTCAAAGGGAATTTAGGTTCTGAAGCTCTGAGTCCTGAGCTAGCTAATCCAGACTGCCCTGTTTCAAAAAGCTATGTCTACAACATCTAAAAAGACAGAAAAGGAAAGGCTTAAGTCAGCTCTGCTCTTTGGCACCCTATAGCAAAAGGTGAATGGCCTGTTTTACTAAATGCAGTGAAACATTGTGCAGAAAGAAATACTTCACAGGCTGGACGGACTGCCCTTGGTTAAGTTGCCAAGTGAGAACGTGGTGTTCTTTCCAAAGCACATAGATTTTGCCAAGAGAGAAGACCACCCTTTCCTAAATGCTTTTATTCCACCACCGCCACCATTTAAAATATAACATGTAAAATATAACATGTATGTGCTGCAGAAAATCAGAAAAAATTAAAAGCATTTATAATCTGCCACCACTCTTAATACATTAGTCTTACTTTTCCCCCACAAAGTTTGGATCTTGTTCTATATACATATTTTTAAAATTGAGATAAAATTTATATAACATAAAATTCACCATTTCAAAGTGTAGGATTCAGTGATTTTTTTAGTTCATTCACAATATTGTGCAACCATCACCACCATCTAATTCCAAGACATTTTCATTGCTCCAGAGAGAAACTCCATACCCATGAACTAGCTCCTCCCCACTTCCCTCCTGCCAGTCTCCCACGACCACTAATCTACTTTCTGTCTCCATGGATTTGCCTATTCCTGACGTTTCATACAAATGGAAAATATGTTATCTTTTTGTTGTTGTTGTTGTTTGTTTGTTTTTGCGGTACGCGGGCCTCTCACTGTTGTGGCCTCTCCCGTGGCGGAGCACAGGCTCCAGACGCGCAGGCTCAGCGGCCATGGCTCACGGGCCCAGCCGCTCCGCGGCATGTGGGATCTTCCCGGACCGGGGCACGAACCCGTGTCCCCTGCATCGGCAGGTGGACTCTCAACCACTGCACCACCAGGGAAGCCCCAATATGTTATTTTTCGGTCTGACTTCTTTCACTTGGCAAATATTTTTCAAAGTTCATCCATGTTGTAGTGTGTATCAGTACTTCATTCCTTTTTATGGCTGGAAAATAGTCCATTGTGTGGATATTCTTCATTTGTTCATCCATTCACCAGCTGCTGGCCATTTGGGTTGTTTCCATTTTTTGGCTATTATGAATAATGCTGCTATTAACATTTGTATACAGGTTTTTGTGTGAACATATGTTTTCAATTCTCTTGGGTATACACCTTGGCATAGAGCTGCTGGGCCATATTATAGATAGTGTTTGCATCGTGAATTTTTAAATTATATCGTGAATATTTTCCCATGTTATGAAAAACATTCCATCATAGAGAAGTACCAGAATTTATTGAATAATTTTCCTATTGTTGGACATAATGTGGAGTCCAGTTTTTATCATTGTAAGAAATGCTGCCAAGAGCATCATTTTATGTACATGTCGGTTCATACACTTTACTATCTCCTTAAGATAAATTTTACTATACATTAACTTACTGAATTGAAGACAATAAACATTTTGCTTTTACTTTTACTCTCCTAATAGTTAAAGTATAATATATCATCATATAATAAAATTAAATTTAGATGTTTATGAACTAAACCCTTAATACCTTCTTTCCCCATAATCCCATTCCATAGAGATAGCCCGTTTAACCATTTCTTGGTTATCTCTCCAAGTGTCTTCAGTGTCTACACAATACTTGTACACCTGGTTTTGGAGTTGTTCAAAATTATATATATATATATATATATATACTATATGTTTATTCTGAAGTTGCACTGTCTTTTATTGTAGCCACTATTCATAAGTGGCTATTGAGTACTTGAAATGTGCTTTGTCTGAATTGAGATATATTGTTGGTGTAAAATATACATCAGGTTTCAAAGACATATAAATACTGTAATGTAAAATATCTCATCAATAGGTTTATATTGATTACATGCTTAAATAATATTTGCATCTATTGAGTGAAATAACGTATGTTATTAAAATTAATTTCATCTGGGCTTCCCTAGTGGCACAGTGGTTGAGAGTCCGCCTGCCAATGCAGGGGACGTGGGTTCGTGCCCCGGTCAGGGAGGATCCCACATGCCGTGGAGCCGCTGGGCCCGTGAGCCATGGCCGCTGGGCCTGCGCATCCGGAGCCTGTGCTCTGCTGCAGGACAGGCCACAGCAGTGAGAGGCCCACGTACTGCAAAAAAAAAAAAAAAAAATTAATTTCATCTGTTTGACATTTAAAAATATTTCTATTAGAAAATTTGAAATTACTATGTGGTTTGCATTCCATTTCTATTGAATAATATTCTGTAGCTTGCTTTTTTTTTTAACATCTTTATTGGAGTATAATTACTTTACAGTGGTGTGTTAGTTTCTGCTGTATAACAAAGTGAATCAGTTATACATATACATATGTCCCCATATCTCTTCCCTCTTGCATCTCCCTCCCCCCCTCCTGATCCCACCCCTCTAGGTGGTCACAAAGCACTGAGCTGATCTCCCTGTGCTATGCGGCTGCTTCCCACTAGCTATCTATTTTACATTTGGTAGGGTATATATGTCAACGCTACTCTCTCACTTCTTCCCAGCTTACCCTTCCCTCTCCCCGTGTCCTCAAGTCCATTCTCTACGTCTGCATCTTTATTCCTGTCCTGCCCCTAGGTTCATTAGAACCTTTTTTTTTTTTAGATGCCATGTATATGTGTTAGAATATGGTATTTGTTTTTCTCTTTCTGACTTCACTCTGTATGACAGACTCTAGGTCCACCCACCTCACTACAAATAACTCAATTTTGTTTCTTTTTATGGCTGAATAATATTCCATTGTATATATGTGCCACATCTTCTTTATCTGTTCATCTGTCTATGGACACCTCAGGTGCTTCCATGTCCTGGCTACTGTAAATAGTACTGCAGTGAACATTGTGGTACATGACTCTTTTTGAATTATGGTTTTCTCAGGGTATATGCCCAGTAGTAGGATTGCTGGGTCATGTGGTAGTTCTATTTGTAGTTTTTTTAAGGAACCTCCATACTGTTCTCCATAGTGGCTGTATCAATTTACATTCCCACCAACAGTGCAGGAGGGTTCCCTTTTCTCCACACCCTCTCCAGCATTTATTGTTTGTAGATTTTTTGATGATGGCCACTCTGAGTGGTGTGAGGTGATACCTCATTGTAGCTTTGATTTGCATATCTCTAATGATTATACAGCTTGCTTTTTAAAAAGTCTTAATAATATGTTGTGTGGACATTCTTTCCATTTTCGTACATAGAGATCAACTTAATTCCTTTTAATGGCTACATAGTGTTCAGTTAACCATTCCACTGTTGTTGGCTATGGGGCAGCTTCCAATTTTTCTTTCTATTACAAATAAATCATATTGAACACATATTATTTATGATTGGGAATTTTTATGAGTATCCTGTAATTTGTGGGATAATTTCCTAGAGGAAGAATCACATTTCAAACACTGATAGACCTGCAAATTGATCAAATAATAGACTATAGGGAGAAGAGACAACACAAATATGTCTTATTTTGACAACCTCTTGGAGTTCAGACCAGCTGTCAGAACAACATATCCTGCTTGAGAGGTGACACAGGGAATCAACTGAGTGTTACAGCAGTGGTTCTCCAGGTGGACAGAATCTCAGAGATTAAGACCTCCTCTTGACATTGGCCTTTGCAAGAGTTAAGTCAGGCAAGGATGAGATTGTCTCAATGTTAGAAGCTATTGCCACTCAAGGTTTAGACTTTCAAAGATCCC